AGTCAATTCCAAGGGAGGACCCTAAGCAGACATCAGTGCACACATATAATCAATAGCCAAGATCATTACAGAAATTACATCAGAATAGAACATATCATATTATCAAATAGCTCTATATGAATGCATCTATACAAAGCATCAAACACAGTCATACAATCCAATCATAGTCCACTAACCATGGTGGAGCACTCAAGTAGGAAAAGACTCCTTAAACATAGAGCTTACCTTTTGAAGCTTTACCAATTTGCTCACTTGTAACACAAGTTACCTATTTAGCTCCAAAGGAATCCAAACACGCTCAGTCCCTAGGCAAACCTAGAGAAAGAATCTAAAACAAAACTAAATAAAATACTGCAATGCCATGTAGTTACAAGACATACACTTTATTATTTACTTTAGTTTCTTTACATTTATGCAAATACACAAGTCATAACCAGTTTTCTTTTTACTTAATCATATTAGGCCATGAGTGAGGGGTTCTTTATTCAACAAATCCTCACAAAATTCCACATATTCACTTAGTCTTAGGATAGTCCCAAAAGGCCTTCAGAACACTCATTACTCCTCTTAGCACCTAAAAGCCTATTTTCCCAATTTAAGGCAAAGTGCCCATTACAAAGGAGCTATAAGATTTCTCTTTGTCTAGTGCCTAAACCCAAGCTAAGCCACCTATATAATTTATTTTATGCATAAAAGTGTTCTCACTTGGCGAAACAGTAACTCCAAACATATACCTCCTTTGAAAATGGCCAAAACTCATTTTAAGGCCATACAAAGGAGCTACCTTATTTTCTTTTTTTATTTCACCAAAACGAAAGTTCATCCACCTTAGAATATTATTCCATCATCAATTCATATGTACGGTACTGTTCATCTATACAGTACTATTCATGTATACGTCACTATTCACGTATACGACACTATTCAAAAATACGATATCTTTAATTTTTTGAATACATTTTCACCGTTAAAATTCGCATCTAAACACTTTTGTCAACATGAGCTAAGCCTCAATAAAGCTCTAACATGCTCATTCAAACCAAACTTTCAAAATAGAAACCTAAATTCAATCTTCCTCAAAACGCAAAGAAAACTAGGATTTCTTAACATAAACTTACCTAGAACGAAGGGGAAAGCTTACTTCAAGCTCCCATGGCTTCAAGCTCCATCAAAACCCCAAATTTCCATGAAATTCGAAATATTAGGAGAAGAAGATCTCTCTCTTCAGTGAACCCCACCCAAAAATACTGGTACTAATGGATTTCTCTCGAAATTTCTCACAAGTTTGGCTTTGGAACAGAGTGATTTGGAGGTCTCTAGCTCAAGTTATGAGCCTTGGAAGATTTAGTTACTATTCATGAACAAAAAGAAAAAGAGAGACAGAGGCCCGCAGGAGACGGACGGAGAAATGAATGAGGAATAGTAATTTTCTTTAAAAATTCCACTTATATAGGTTAAGTGAAATCCAACTGGGTAAAAGTTTATCTATCTACACAACTCCATTCTTTACCAAACTTTACCCACTGGACTAGAATATTTTTCTACTCATATTTCTAACTTTACTTTCACTTTTCGGGTAACTTTTCTTATCCGCATTTTTACCCATTAACTGTCATTTTAACTTCTTTTTCACCAAAGCTGACTTTATTTCTTTTTCTTCTAAATATTCTTCAATATTAAATCCATAAATAAATGTGAGGGTCATTATAAATAACAGATGGTAGATCCTCAGGCTAGCTTGTGACTTGGGATGGGGTGTTTTTTTAGTTAATGATGACTTATGGGTTAAATGGTCTTGAGTTTTGGACTCAAGTTTGTACCCAAAAAAGCAAGTGGGAGATTGTTGGGTTTGTGCTCTTTTACTAAAGCCTAAATGAGCTAAGAGTGTGAGAAGAGCCGAAAAAACCTAGAGCCCAGTGAGGTTAGGGCTAGGGTTTCTTGGAACCCTTATAAATGCTACCACTTAAGTCATCAGCTTTCGAGGTCAATAAACATAAGAGGTAAGCTCAAATATGAAGAGGTGCCACACACTTCCCCTTCTCCCTCGAGAGATAACTTGGAAGGTTTATCATAGAGCAGAGATTTATTCGAGCTAGAGAAATCTGTTCGTGTTATGATGTAGAAGAGAACGGTACGTAAGTTTGTGTTGTGATGCAAAGGAAATCAGTTCATGAAGGAAAATCATACACAAGGTGATTCTACGAAGATCTGCGTGTCAAGAGGTAATTGTGAAATGAGGATGATTCAGTAAGCATACCAATGTACTAAGTCTTAAATCATTTTCGCATAAATTCAATAGTTCGTACAACTCTCATATATGTAAAACAATCAATTCAAATCAAAAGTTTAAAATATTTGAAAAATGACACATTAATAATTTTATATTATATTTTAGTAATACAAAAGAGGAAAAAAAATCATTTTTTTATTTTTATCAATTTATGTTTCCAAAAAACCGGTTTATTTTTTGAAACAAATAATTGAATTATTTTATCAAACAATATTTCTAACCATTTCTATTCCTAGATTAAAAGTTAAGAAAAATAATAATTTATCAGAACATTATCATACACATCCTAAATAGGTGAACAATTTAATTTGTAGCTATGTTTATGTTATTTTGTTTTGTTTTAGTTTCCATCCGTTTTCTAAAAGGAAATGCGTATATGATCAAATTCCACTTGACCTCCTCTAAATGTTAATTCACTAAGAATTTCCCAGAAGTTGGTCCTTATTTTGCTTTCCAAAAGTGAGCAGACATAAAGCATTCAGTTTAGTTTGTAGCTTTATGTTTAGTTTTTTTTCGTTTTCCAAAAGCAACCGTGAATATGAGCCAAATTCCACTTAAGCTCTGCTTACAAGCGAAGAGACCCAAGAATTTCCCTGAAAGAAACAAAGCAGTATAAATTGGGTCTAATATATATTAATGCTTTTTTCTTTTGCATGTGCAATTAACTTTCTTTTAGCCAATATCATTTGGCGATTAAATTTAGATCCACAATTCCACATGCATTTATATTATTTTTATCTCCGTGGTATTTGGGTTATACCTTTTTGTAATGACTTTGAAGAACATCTATGCTTTAATGTGTGGTTGGTTAAATTAAATTATTCACCATCCAAAATGAAATGACCCACCATTGGATGGAACTATAGCTTTTAAAGTCAAACACTTCAACTTTATAAATGGGTGATTACAGACAAATGCGTCTACTTCTGGAATGGACAGCCCAAAGAGCACTTGGAAGAAAAAGCAGGGGAAATTATGTTGTGCTAATAGTCAGCTGGAAACTTTGTTTAAATTTATCAACTTTGTTATGGGGTCATAAAAATGGGTGTTATTCACTTTCAGGGGAAACCCCTTTATAAATACTCAGTTAATTTTGTAAATATGTCTCTTGAAACCCTAACTTTTCTAATTATCACTTTGTCCATACACACATCTCCTCTGGTTTTTCAGCCTTTTATTTGTGCATAGTGATATATTATTACACGCAGTCTTTCTTCCATAAATACCGCTAACTCACATATCCAACAGAAATCTTGATCCACTAGAACCAAACAAAAATTGATGTTTGTTTCCTTTCATGGTTCAATCACAAAAAGGACACCTAACAATCAACCAAATTTGTTAAAACACACTAGTAAGCTCAGGACCTTTGTCACCTATCTGAACTTCCAAGTCTAGATTAGGAAATACCACACATTATGTTAGACATATATTACATTAAATACTAGTCAGACGTTATTTAAATACTTATGGCTTATAATTTAAATTTTTTTAAATTATTTTTTTTATAAAAACAACTAAGATACCATAATATTCAAATACACAATTATTATGTTCTACTTTCCAAAATCAAAAACAATTAGTATGTTCTAGTTTTAACGTTTAATCAGAGAGGGAAACTGCTTGGAGTTTCATGGTCACAAAGAGCTAAGTGTTGCTATATGCTAATGGAGAAAAGTGGTGTTCCCACTAGCAATAACATGCATATACGACTGAACTTCAATATTAAGCTTTTTTAAATGTTGAATATGACTTCCACCAATTGCTATTGGTGTGCATACACCGGTCAGAGGCAGAACAACTAACACTCTTCTCACATTGTTCTCAAACTTAGGGCAGAAGGTGGGGTGGGAGATAGACACCACCCATCATAGTGTTAGAAATATTCAAGAGTGAGTAATTATGAAGTTCCACACTGATTATAAATGTTCCAAATAAGTATTATATAAGTGTAAAAAGATCCATACAATTTGAGCCTTAAGGTTTTGGGTTCAGATATGGTATCGGTCCACTTATTGTGGCTTGTTGCTTGGCCTATTGGTGGAAGAATCCATTGCAAATAATTTTGGGCTCTCTTGTAATCGGTTCACTTATTGTGATTTGCCGCTTGCCCTATTGGTGAAAGAATTGCAAAGAATTCATATAAAAGCCATCATTTAAAAACTTTGCACTTGATAAAAAATCTAGATCGTTGATCATGGAGAAATCGCTACCACATTTCGTGCCTATTACCTGCCTCATAAACCTTTGTTATATTCCACCTTTAGTGAGTTTCTTGGATGTGTACCTATCTTTACTGTTCCATTACTATTCATATATGAAATATTCCTAAGCTTCGTGGTGATTTCCACTAAACATTGACTTTGGATTAGTGTACCTACTTGGGTTTTGCCACCCCAACATTTTTTGTCATCTTCCACTTTCATTATGTGCTCCATCTTTTGTTGCCACATTGACTTTAAATATATCTTTCATGTCCACCCAAAAATCCCCTGCACCCCAATATTAGCTTTGGGTTTTCCCATCCACAAGGACCACAAGCTGATTTGAAAACTTTCCAAAGAGTGGAAATGCGTTGATCCTCTAATTAATGATGGGTTGCTATCACCTTTTTGAATTTGGCAATATGATTGCTCCTCCGTAGTCCACTTTCGATACTAACAAGAAAAATCTTACCAACAAGTGTATAAATTGAGTACTAGCGTATGTGAAGTAACACAACCAAGAGCTTTAATTTGTAGTTGAGAAGTCTATTAATTATAACAAGAATGAAAGGCACTCTCCTTCGCCTGTTTGTGATTCTCTTAGGGCTCTCTCATCTTATATGCTTCAAAGCAGTCCCTATTACAAGTAAATTCTATAGCCATACTTGCAATTTTATTCTTGTAGAGACGTATAGTTCACCTTCTTCTTCCTCTTCTTATTCTCCTAACGAAAACTTGCTTCTATAAACAGGAACTGAAAGCCTTATGCAAGGTCCCCACGTTCATCTTGCACCGGAGAATACCCACAACCACAAGGTACTTACAAATTTGCTGCTCTAAATAAGACTATTGCTAATTAAGTTGCTTAAGACGCACAATGCATTTTAATTACTAGATATAAAGAAGCTTATATATATTCTTAGGATATATTTTTCTTATGTTGTAGGAAAAGAATTATCTTATGTTGTAGAAACAAAAGTATAAGTGGGACCCACATGTAAGAGGAGAGAGAGAAAAAGAATGGTGGGACCCAATCCTTTTTGTGTGTGTAGGAGAGATGTTTATCTCATGTAAAATGAGATAAACATAACCCATATTCTTATCGAACCGGACTAGTTGAGTTTTTGATGGACCGGTGTAAAAAAACAAAAAACTTATATTTCATGTATTTGAATACAGATTATCAATGGAAGAAACTTGCACGGGGAGGAGCCAACCATTATTGAGAGGATGGACTTGGAACTCCATGACTACCCTGGTTCTGGGGCTAATAATCGTCACACTCCAAGGACACCATAACCATAATATGTGTGAAATGCTGTGTTGATTGTTAGTGGCTCTACGTAATACAACCTTATAATGTTAACACAGTTATCAAGTTAACATATATTGTTTCTCAATAACTTTATTTAGTAGACATAATATAGGTCGATCGTAGAAGCAATTATGAATGTATGACGAGGTAAAGGACTAGCTAGGTAAACTGAAATCAAAGTGTTCAGTGTGATTAATGAGAGAACTCAGACCCTTGTGTTTGTTAGTTTGAATTGCTGCGTATTTATTGCAACACCTATGATGCACTTAATGTTGACCAGATAAACATATCGAAGTAATTAATGGACTGATTCAAGAAATATACAATCAAACCAAATTATGGTCCATTAAACATTATTTATATGTTTAAAAAACTAGCAATTTGAAACCATCGGTGGAACTGTATTGGTGCAACTGCGTGGCAAGTGCATAAATAAATTTTTGGAAAAAAAATAAATAAAGTATATTTTATGTCTTCAACAAAAATCATAGGTCTAATTTAATCTCTTAGAAAAAAATTGACTCGCGGTTCCTCTGAATTCCAAAATAGAACCGGTTAGTCGAAATTGTAGTCCTTCTGAAATTCAAAGAAGACCTAAATTAGTCCCTTGAAAAGACTAACATGGGTTTATTTTGGTATTCAGAGAGATTACGAGTAGATTTTTTTTCCCAAAAAGATTAAATTGGGTCCCGTGATTTTTGTTAAGGATCCAAAAAGTACTTTATTTTCCTAGTAAGCTCAAGTTTTTTTTGGTTTATATTCTTTTATTTTTTTAATACATTTAAAATTTTCTTTAAAAAAAATTTAGAGGGCAACGCTTCCAAACCCCCTCCCTAAATGTGTAAACATAAATAAAATTTATTGGTCTCCTATTGTTTGAAACCTAACAAATTATAATCAAATCCCAATTTAAATAAAGTAACATATTTGATTGTAATTAATTGGAAAAAATTGAAAAGCAATAAATTTGACTTGATTTTATATCTAAGAATTGTAAATGTTTTAAACCTGCAGTTATTGAATAATAGTTTGATTTATCTTTATTTTAGAGATTTTATTATATTTTTAGCCATTAAATATATATGTTTTTATTTTAATTATTATAATTAAGAACTGAAGAATTTTTTTTATTTATTAAATCTCAATTTTCTATTTAGCCATTTTTTCTCATCCAACTAGCAATATAACATTTCCAGTTACGCTTTAATTCACCTAAATATTACCGATACTCATTTCCGAATAGATATTGCAACAGTACTACCTAGAACAAAAACAATTGTAAACAGAGGAAAAAGAAAGTTTTTGGATCATTGCAGTGCTGGCTCAGGGGGGAACGCGTCCTTAATTTAGATCCATTATTTTATAGGCCCGTGATTTTATGATAATATTTCTTGTCTAAGAACATAGTCAATTTTACCAGACTTCTCAAATACAAAACTATCCAAATTCAAAACCATAAGAAACCACATTCTCACATGCACCCAATGTTAGAGAGGAAATATAAAAGAAATATCATTGGGAGACATCTCTTATAAGTTTAAGCTGTTGAGTTAAATTGATTAATTATGAATTATGATTATTTTGGATTTTGTCTATTACAATTGGAAAATGACCCATTTTTTATGGAATCTTTCAGCGAAACTGATCTGGATAAAATACGGTAAGTCCGTCAAAGGCCAAAATCCACAGAACAAGGCCCAAACTCACAAGGCCCAGAACAAGGCGCGATGTTCTCAATCGTGCCTGAACCGCCTTTCAACATAACTTCGGAGATAAGAAAGCAATCAAAGGAACCAATGAAGATCTACCGCGCTATTGAACAAATAAACAGAAGACAGCACCAGCTTGCCACCACTCTACCAAGATAGCCTGACATAATCAGATAAGGCTACGGAAGCATCAGCTGAACCTGCAGCCCATGAACAACCTATCAGAAGTCATATCGCCTACTTAAGGCGGCATCAGATCCACTATATAAACAAAGGATACATGCTCAGGTATAACAATCTAATTCAGTAAGAATACGCATAAACCTGACATTGATACTGACTTGAGCATCGGAGTGTCATTGCAGGTACCCCCCCTCCCCCAGTCAGGATCATCGCGCCAAAGGAGAATCAAACTCATCACGTCATCAACAACTACCACCAGCCCAGGAAACAGATAACCCAAACCAAAGTCTTCTCATCTCAACCGTGAGTGATTAGGCCCTATACACTTTGGCCAGCCCATATAGTATTGGTCTGATCATTGCCGCCGTATGTGGGGATTCTATCATTTACAACCCATTCAGTCACAATTTAAAAACATAGTTGATACCATAAGCAAATCCCAGAACGGTTCCAAAGGCAAGCAAAGAGAAACACCTGCCTCCTGTGAAAAATCAGCCTTATCAATAGCACCAATCTCCATGCACCACGACAATCCACCCATAACCCAACACCTATTGAAGCTTATTACCCAGCAGAACAAAAAAATTGCTCAGTAGAATCTTATTACCCAGCAGAACAAAAAAATTGCTCAGTAGAATCGAGATTTAGCTTGATTAAAAAAATCACAGAAGGCTAGAGAGAAAAACCAGGAAAAAGGAAAAGAAAAACAAACAAAACCTGATAAAGAAACTGAGAAAGAGTTCAAAAATTCTGGTGAAGGTGAGCCAGGACATGAACATTCCAAACAAGATCATGGACCCTTTGGTCAGAGCAAGAAAGGTGAAGAAAAAAAAGAAACCCATGAAAATTCTCAGGGAAACTCTAAGACAGTTTCACGTGTCTTGCATCCCTTTACCTCATGTATCATGAGTGTCCCCATTCCCATTGACGTAAAAATTACAGCCGAGAAGTATAATGGAAAGGGAGACCCGCAAGATCATCTGGAATAATTCCAGACAAACATGATGGCACAAGATGTTGCTGATCCGGTAGCTTGCAAGCTATTCCCAACAACCCTGACAGAAATCGCGCTTAGATGGTACTCCGCTTTTCCAACCAATTCGATTCAAAGTTGGGAGGATCTCACCAACCAATTCCTTATACGGTTCGCAACTAGCAAAGCGCAGCACAAGTCTACATATGCCTTGAAAATAGTACGACAAGGAACACATGAAACTCTGCGCGATTACCTTAATAGGTTTTTTGATGAAGCACTCTTAGTAAGAGATCTAGATCCACAAGTTTCCTTACATCTCATTATAGAGGGATTGCTTGAAAGTCCTTTCTCTATGTCGTTGGTAAAAAAACGCCCACATACCATAGAAGAACTAAGAGCGCGATCTGAAAAATTCCTTGATCTTGAAGATTATAAACGATCGCGGGATACTTCTGGCATCAAATCAAAATCAGGCAATTTTGAAAAAGATGTCCAAAAGAATTTTTAAAGACAGTTCTGGGAGAAAAGAAAGTGGGAAAAGTTCGATAATTATACTCCTTTGAACACATCCGAAGACGAATCCTGAAGAAAGTCTTCCAAACTAGTTATGTTCGCATTGTTAAGCCCCCACCATTGAAAAAAGGAGGACGACATGACGAAACCAAATTCTGCGAGTTTCACAATGGTACCGGTCATACCACTGATGAGTGCTTGGATTTGAAAAACACCATTGAACTACTTATCAGAGCAGGCAAACTTCAAGAATTCATTTCTACCTGTAGAGAGTTTAAGGCACAAAGAAGGCGGGATAGAAGTCTTGATCGTGATCAGAATCCTGACCGACAAAGGGCATATCCCAGGAGGGACTACAATCCAGCCAGAAATAACAATGATAAGAACGCGCGCGATGACAGCGCTGATAGACGTCAAGGAATTCCAATGCGGTATAGACAGCAGGTAGCGCAACAGCACTAACTGCCCAATAATGCTGCCGGAGTATTAGCCATCATCGTTGGAGGAACTGCCGGAGTAGAAGCTACTAACTCACAATGCAAGAGACATTTAAAATCAATTATGACAGTTCATGATCACACACAGCCATCTACATCCCGCTTCAAGCGTCAACCCATAAGTTTTGAGGATGATGATTATTGTGACATCATCCTAGATCATGATGATCCATTGGTAATTTCCGCTTGCATGGCCAATCTCCAGGTAAAACGAATTATGATTGATAACGGCAGTTATGCTGATATAATCTTCTAGGATGCTTTCCGCACGATGAATATCCCAGAAGAACATTTAATTCTAGGCTGTACAAATTTGATCGGTTTTTCTAGTGAATGCGTACAACCTAAAGGTACCATCAAAATGTGGGTAACCTTTGGGGTCATGCCTCTGGCTCGTACTGTTAAAGTACGCTTTTATGTTATCGAATATGCGTCTGCATATAACATTATCTTGGGACATCCCACCATTGCCGCTTTAAAGGCAATCATTTCTATGCCTCATCTTTTGATGAAATTTCGAGACTCCACTGGCGCTATTGTTGCTATTAGAGGAAATCAGAAAGCGGCACGTAGCTATTACAATACCAGCTTACAAGTAAAGTCAGCAACTCTTCGCGTTGAGAAAGGCAAGGCATCAATCAATATGACTGACTTAGACATGCGTGAAGATTTGCGCGATGCGCGACCCCAGCCTGATGGTGAATTAGAGGATCTCCAACTTGGTCCATTGCCTGAAAATGTTACCAAAATTGGACGTCACATACCAAAAATTGAGAAAAATGAATTAGTGGCAGTATTATTAAAAAACAAAGATCTTTTTTCTTAGACAGCAGCTGATATTCCAGGAGTAGATCCTGATGTCATATGCCACCATCTTACTCTTGATCCTAAAGCAAAACGAATCGTACAAAAGAAGCGTAAGATCTCTCCTGAAAAACAGCAGATAGTTGATACTGAGGTAACAAAGTTGCTCGATGCAGGGATTACTAGAGAGATCATGTATTCCACTTGGCTCTCTAATATCGTGTTAGTCAAAAAAGCCAATGGAAAGTGGCGCACGTGTACTGACTACACAGATCTCAACAAACATTGTCCAAAGGATTTTTATCCCCTCCCTACCATTGACAAATTGGTGGACAATTCTGCAAGATATCAGATTCTTCCTTTTATGGATGCATATTCAGGGTATAACCAAATCCCCATGTTCAAACACGATGAAGAGGCCACAACTTTTATTACTGAAAAGGCTACCTATTGTTATAACATGATGCCATTCGGTCTTAAAATACCATGACAGCTCCAAAACACCCTCAGAACTTGGAACAGGTGTTTCAACAGTTGCGCAAGTATAAATTGCGACTTAATCCAGCCAAATGTGCGTT